CCTGGAGGAGCGAGGCCTGCCAGCCACCCACCTCGCCTCCAGGCAGCACCGGCACCGAGACAGGGATGAGCAGCGCAGCTCCGGCCTCGCAGGGCTCCTCCTGCAGCCCCGGCCTCGCGGTGGATCCGGCCTCTGCGGCACAGCCCTGAGCAGATGGAGGGAGGGGGGGTCACTCACACTGTGGGGCAGGGCTGGGGTCGGCTCCGCTCCCACCCCCGTGCACCGCTTTGCTTTCTGAGCGCCCCGACCCCTCTGCTTTCCCTTCACCTGCGGCTCCTCTCTCCTGTGGGGCAGCAGCCACTGCTCGCCACGGAAGCACATGTGGCTGGCCAGGCCCTTCTGGGTGTAGAACGCCTGCTGGCAGCTCTTGCACAGGAGGACGCCGTCGCAGTCGCTGCTGTTGGTGGGAGCCGCGCTGCTCTTAGCGCTAGGAAGGAAACGTGGAGATGAAGGGACGGAAAACAGCAGCGTTCCTTCAGAAAAGAAACATTTGGCTCAGTGTGTTCAGTGCAGGCCTGCGTCTCCCCTGCTACAGCTGGGGCAGAGGGGAACCTCTTGGGGTCGTTTGGCCACATGACTCGTGAGGCACAGCCGAGGTCCTTCTGGTTCTCATTTACACCCCTACTAATTGGCACAATTCACAGCCGACCAGGTGAGGCCTCGTTACGTGGAGCTGCCGACAGCTCTCCAGGAACTGAAAGGAACCCGAGGTCCGCACAACCGCTCACCTCGCGGCCGCCGCGCCGTCCTCCCGCGCCGTGCCTGGGAAGCCGCAGGTGTTTCCCCCCTGGGGGTGAAGAACCAACAGTCAGAGTGAGGCGTCACCACTGCGACGCTGTCACTGCGCCTCTCCGCAGCCAGCGCTCAACAGCACCACTGCAGAACAAACACCAACCCATCCCAGCTGCACAACGAACACCAACCCATCCCAGCTGCACAACAGACACCAACCCATCCCAGCTGCACAACGAACACCAACCCATCCCAGCTGCACAACGAACACCAACCCAT